TTCATCTGCTGAAGATTTTCCAAAGTGATTCACAGCCATGAGAAACTTTTGAATTGTTGTCACTGTTGTCATTTAGGGAACACCACAACCAATTTTCATGCAACAAAGTCCCACAAACAACAGTAAGATCATCAACCTGATAACCTGATATATTATAACAATATAATAAATCAAAAAAACTATGAATGTGTGGAAATCTGAAATGAAAATAGAAATTGCTGGCAAAACTTAGTAGGTCTGGCAGCATCTGTGGGAAGAAAGCTGAGTTAACGTTTCAGTCCAGTGACTCTCCATCAGAACAGTCTTCTGATGAAGAGTCACTGGACTCGAAACTTTAACTCCATTTCCCTCCCACAGATGCTGCCAGACCTGCAGAGTTTTACCAGCAATTTCCGTTTTTGAACCTGTTTCTCCAGTATTGGTTGAGAGAGGATTGTTGGCCATATAACCTGAGAACTCTGCTGCCCTTCTACAAAAAGTATCTTGCAGTGTTTCATAATCACCAGAAGGTGCAGATGGTACTCTAACATAATAATTCAGTTCTAGATTCTGACTTGTGGAATTTTCAAGATTGAAGTGATTTTTTAATTGGATGTAAGCATCAAGGGATATGGGATTAAGGCAGGTAAGGAGTTGAGGTGCAAATCAACCATGGGCTAATTGAAAGGTAGAATGACCTACTGTGTTCCTCCAGCTCCACACTGTATTGATTAATGACTGACTAGTCTACTCATGTTCCTATGTTCTGATTACATTGAAGCGTCAGATCAGATTATGTTCATGGCATTCTGGGAGAAGGCTTTGGAGCTCACCACATTAGAATTAGAGGCAAGAATGCCACCAGCTGAATTGAGACACATATCCAGGCTGTATTTTCATGTACTGACTGAAAAACCTGAATCAAGCCCTTTTATAACTTCTGAAAGGTGTGCCTAATCTCATTTCCACCATATTTTTGTGTCTGAAAGGTGTGGGCAGGAAGAGGTAGGGGATTTCACACAGAAGTGTGATGTAGGAGGATTGTGGATGCAGAAATGGGCTGGTTAGAAGGCTCGATTCAGTTTTAAGGAAGAACAACCCAGATACCAACATCATTCTAATGCTTTCTAAACCTCACTACTTACCCACTCATCACCCAGTCCCCTGCATGGCCTCTCCATGCCATTTTATAAACCTCATGATCCTTCCATATCGTGTACTCCCCAAGTCCCTTCTGTGTCTCCTCATATTCCTATGTACCATCCTTGCTGCCTATGTATGCTGTATAGTTACTCACCCAGGATCCATGAAATTCAGACATAATGATGTCTTTCAAGCAGACTTGAGAAATAAATTTCTTACAATCTAGTTAATGTCATTCAAATACACCAGAGTAAAAAGAAACCTCTAAGTTATAAACACTAGTTGTGCAGTCAGTCTGTTAATGACAAACACATATTTACTTAGCATATTAAAGAGGCATAATCCTTTCACAACCTCTTAAAACTGGCAGGCAAAAGGTAAGCTCAACCCCCTTCTGAGATAAGTGATTTGTGAGTTTTTGAAACTAAGCCAAGTATTTATAAAGTCTTCAGCGTTAAAAAAAACAAGACCAGGGAAATAGCAAGAACTGCAGATGCTGGGGTCAGAGACAACACAGTGTGGAGCTGGAGGAACACAGCAGGCCAGACAGCATTAGAGGAGCAGGAAAGTCGATGTTTCAGGTTGGGACCCTTCTTCAGACCTGGGGACCAGGGAAATCTAAACAATGGGATCTACTGAAATTGAAAAAGCAGATGACTTTTTATTTCACCTGCAGCAGATGCCTAGTTGATCACAGCAGTCCAGGAATGCTTTCTTTGAGGGTTTTTTGATTATTTAAGAGCTATCCAGACATTTAAATCACTTCAGGTTATTATGATAGAGATGGCAATGTTTTATTCAGGCTTAATTCATTGGGAAAAGTATTGTAATGCATCTCAACATTAAAACAATGCTGATCAATGAAATAGTCAACTTAATGGAAGAGCCTGAGTGAACTGCTGCAGTTAACGTTACAATACAGTGCCCAGTAGCAACAGTTGAATTTGTCAAAACATTTTACAAGTACTTGTCACAATGTTCCTGACTCCTCAGCAGGTTTTGGCCCAAGGTTTTCCCCAGTTAGGAAAAGTTTCTGAGGTCTTTCAAAACTACCACCAACACACAGACACAGCTGAGGGAGCAAATTCAAAGAAGACATGAAGGAAAGGCCACAACCAGAGATCATCATGCTCCACAGTAAAGGCCACAAGTAAATAGGATGGATTGAGAAGTCAGGTAGATGTCAATGTTGTAACTATTCTGAAGCAGCCTGGCTTGGGGCTTGGCTAATTTAGGAACATAAATCTTCAGTACAATTGATGGAATGTAACCAGAGCTCACAAGATTTGCAACATCTAGTGCCTTCTGCTGTTTCTTAATAAAATGTGGAATGAGTAGAATTGGTTGATTATGGGCATCTGTGATGCTGGAGAGCTCAGCAGAAAGCCAACGTAGATCATCTACTCCCCATTTCTGACTTAAGACGGACACAACTCCTTAAACTTTGTATTTTGCATTGATTTGCTGGGTTCTCCCATAATTGAGGATGGAGACATTTGTGTACCCTCCTTCTGTGGTTCGTAGTTTAATTGTCCAGCACTATTCTGATTGGATGTTGCAGGATTGCAGATCTTAGTTCTGATCTGCTTAGCTGTGTTGATTTCATGATACTTATTCTGCCTGGCACGCAAGTAAATCTGTGTTGTAGCTTCACTGGTTTGATACCTCAATTTTAGATATACCCAACGTTACTCCTAGCATACCCTCAGATGAATTTGAAGATAGTGGTGTTCCCCCATATCTGCATTCCTTGTGCTTCTGTGACCGTGGGTTCCAAAGGTGCTGGCTAAAAAGCCTTGGTGAATATCTTAATAAATAATTCAACAAAAGAACATAATATTGTACTCAGAGGAAAAACAGTATAATGCTGCATAAAGAAATATTTTAAATGTTCTTATAATAAATATCAGAAAGAAAATTTCATTTTAATCCGATAATGTTACAGACATCCAAACCTCAGTGAAGGATCATTATGTTTCCATGCTAAAATGTTGTGTAGTTCTGGAATATTGTCTATAGTTCTAGAATCCACACTATAGAGGGATATGATTGCACGAGGGAGAATGCAGTGGAGATTTCCAAAATGTTGCCTGGGCTGGACAATTTCAGCTATGAAGAGAGATTGGACAGACTGGTGTTGTTTTCCATGGAGCAGAAGAGGTTGAGAGGGGACATGATTGCAATGTATAAAATTGAGGGACGTAGTCAGGGTAGACAGGAAGAAACGTTTCCCCTAACGGAGGGATCAATGAGCAGGGGCATAGCTTTAAGGTAAGGCGCAGGAGGTTTAGAGAAGAAGTGAAGAAAAATCTTTTCACCCAGAGTGTGGTAGGATTGTGGAACTCACTGCCCGTAAGGGTATTATAAGCAGAAACCTTCATAATATTTAAGACCTATTTTGGTGTGCGTTGTGGTGCCAAGGCAGACAAAGCTATGGGCTGGGTGCTGGAAAATGGGATTGGAATAGTTAAGTGGTTGTTTTTGACTGGTGTGGACTAATGGGCTGAAGAGTCTTTTTCCGTGCTTTAGGACTATGACAAAAGTTCCTTGTTCAACTGGCATGGTTTTATTGGTTTTAGTTTGACAATTAATGAGATACTATTTTCTTTTATTAATGTCTCTTCCTGAGACCCTTAAGCTGCTAACTCATTTACTCCTTGATATGCTTTCCTCAAACTCATATCTTCAACTTTCAGAGCTTTCTGCTTTGAATTTATCCGTTAAACTGTTTATGACCTTTTTTTTAACCCAGCCCAAACTGTTTGGACCTGCTAATAACAGCAGCTGAACTATTGAGGATTGCTGCTCTTTGATTGAACTGGTTTTTGTTTGAATGAATATGTTTCTGCACCCCACCTGTCTGAATTATAAATCTCAGTTAGCACACATCTCAGCAGTAACATTCCAAGGCTTTGCTTGTCATTTATCTCCAATTACATAATTTCTTAGAAATGTTGTATTTTACTTGCTGGTCTAAAATGACTTTCTGAGCTCTTAAACAAAAGTCAGATCTTCAAACTAAAATAAAACTTTCCCCCATTTCAGAACCTATGTTTCCATCAATAATAGTATATCATGAACCTGCATTACACAGCATATAATATAAAATAATTGTGCTAAATCAAAACAGGAACAGAGTTCATGATTTTAAGATGGAGATTGCATTGTATCAGTCTACAAAGGACTGACTTTTCTGACATTCTAACCTTAATTTATTGAAAATCTACGTCTGAGAAACTGTGGCAAATTAAAATATGATAGATAAATATAGAACAAAGTGTTGTGTAACAGAGGAAGCAGTGATCAATTTTAATTTTAAGAAAAATTTCAAATACTTCATTGCAATTGCTAAAACTACTGAATTATGAATACCAGCTGGACAAGCCATCAACAATGCATTATTTATTCTTACTGCATCTGATGTAAATTTTAAACAGAAAGTGGATCACTGGGGATACATTTAACTGCTCCATTTCTAAAAAAAAATTAAACACATTGTGTACTATTTTGACTTATTACACTGAAGAATCCTTTGCTTTTTCTGTTGGTTTCCAGTAAGTTAATTTAATATCCAGTAACCAAAGATATAAGGCTGTATTTTAAATGCAGTCAGATGATAACACCTAATTCAAAACTAATTATTATTCCACACCCAGTCTCTGAAAAACATGTTTTGGTATATTTAGATTCTCTGTTTGCTTTCTGGGTTTCTTGTTCAGGTTATACTTTCAAGAATCTATATAGACAGGCCAGACCCTGGACAATCTAAGGTGTAGAGTTGACTGTTTACATTTTTCTTCAGAACCTGTTTTGCATTTCATGGGCTTTGGCCACAAGTAAATTTGAATTAATTATGTCTAAATAATTGATAATTTTAGATTGGGTATTGGAACGAATATGAAAGACTGGTGACCATCGCTGATATGCAACAGATGAATGAATCGACTTCAGCCGAAAACAGAACAATAGTAGTCACAACTATAATGGCAAGTACAAACTTTTTTTTTATTTGTTTAATTAACTTAAAAATTTTGGTACATCTTATTGTATGAATGTTTCATTCTCTAACTTTTGCCAAACAATTATTTTGCAGAGAGCTACACAGTAATGGAATTTCACTGACTGACTGTGAGAAGATATTAGTGCAGGCTTAAAAATAAGATTTAAGCTGATTCCCAAATAAAGTAATATTTTACTGGTGGAGATACTCTTCCATTTTTAAGCAGTTCATCTCAGTAATTTATTACTTCCACCCCAAAAGGGGAGAGAGATACTCTAACTGGTGTTCCTGTATGTCTGTCTGTTTGCTTGTTTGTCTGTCTGTGTAACAGCCTGCCTGCCTGGCTACCTATCTACATGCCTGTTCATTTGCTTCTGAACAATAAGAAATCCTTCACGGATTTCAACAGGAATTGATATGTAGATTCAAGGGGACAATACCTCAAACACGTTCAATTCAGGACAAGGTCCAATAATGTAATCAATTATTGCATGGTGACCTGTTTCACATTTTGCAACTTAATTTAATGTGATAACTTACTCTTATGTGTAAGAATGTATACCTCATGATAATCACTTTATGACAGCAACAGCCTGTTACCTGCTGCTGGCCATTGTTAAGTAACTTTCAGGTACTGATGCCAGATTTCTGAGAAACTGATGAAATGAATTTTAGGCATCAGCTGAAAGACCACATGTCAGTGCTAGCCCTACCAATGCCTGAGAATGTTCCTGATCAAAGGACACTGTCAAAATGCCCATTTAGTGTAACAGTGATTTTGTATGTGAATCTCAAAATTTAGTCTTATAAGTTATTAAATGTAACTAAACTATACAACGCAGTCTCAAAACATCTTCAACTATTTTATCATTGGCTATATTACCTCCTTGGTGTAATCATGACCAACTCGGGTTGTATTTTCAAAACGTTAAGATTAACTCTGTTACGTGCAGCATGGCAGATATTTCCTTCGTATTAAGAAAAAGCATTCACATCTTCACGAGAAATATCAGAGAAATAAAACATTGATAATCACGCTTACAATTCGCAACATGCACAGAAAGATATCCACCACTGCTACCATGTTGTGGACAAGTGACGCTCAAATAATCAATTTTGTCAATATTGTTTCTTCCTAATGTATTCTGACACGGAGTGAAATGATAATTTTGAAATTTATTCAGAAAACATTTTCTCCAACAGTGCTTAGTTCAGCTCCTTAACATTCCTTACTGTGAATCAATCAAAAATGTTAATATGTTAAATGTTAAAAGTTTCAATTTTTATTATAATAGCATTTTATTTTCATTGCTGCCGTTATTTCTAACGTTCAAGGTCCTATGTATACTTTTCTCACCAGAATGGGTGATATTGTGATGAATATATCATCAGTAGTTGTTAAACTGTAGCTTTGAGTGTGTAACAGGGAAGTTAACTTTATAAATTCCACTTATTGCCATCAACTTCTATTGTCTTCTATTTTATTGTCACATTTTTTCAAACAAAACTCCCAGTGCTGTTCAATAAATGTCCATTCATTTTATATCTAATATTGTCACATTTTTTCAAACGTTTCCTACACACGTTCACTTTGTTAATGTTATCTTGTAGTAGATCCTTTTAATTGGACGATATTGCCGAAGTTCCCAGACATTGTAGTGGTGGTCATTGCATGAATGGACTCAACTGCTTTTTGAAATGTATCCTGATATGATACCTTCGATTTTTTTTAACTGATAAAACCACCATTGTGGTGCCACAACCTTCCTTATTCACTTTTGTTGCTTTTCTGCTGGCAGTTAAAGGTTACAATTTGTCATATCAAAGAATCAGTTAATTTCTGGTACCTGTGGTTTTGAATCTAAACCATGCATGTTGGGATAAAAAAAATCTGCAGTTTCTGATGCGGCAAGTGAAATGGATTTGAGCATGGGAGCTCATATTCAGAACTGCAAATCATTTTAAGCTAATCGACACTAAGAAAGGTAATTTACAAAACCATCACTCTAATGGACCTAACTTGCTTAGTTTCCTTATCTGGAACCTACATGATTGTCTGTCTCTTTATTTTAATCAGTAGAAATTGTGAAAAATGTGACTGCAACTGCTGATGTATGGTACAGAGAATGAGATTTCCTGCCAGGGGTACAATTTTGTAGAATTACAGCTTGAAGATTTGAAAATATGCTGTATAGCATTAGTGAAAAACACAATATATAAAATTCTTAAATCTGCTCTTTCAACGAACATGGTGGGAATAAATGGAGTTATGTCTCTGTTACAATAGTGTTGGCATATTTACTACTAATATCACACAATACAATTTAAGACCCTAATCTTCCAGCCTCAATCAAAAAGACTGCAGGATGGCTGGATGTAGGGAATTGAAAGATTGCACCAGTAGCATGAGCAGTCTAGTCTGGAGTTTAAATTGAAGCACATTGCTGGAGGTGCAAAGAGCAGGCACCAGGCACATCCTTACGCTGATTTTTCGGTTATTGATTCTTTGAAAAGAAAAATGGCTTAAATTTCCATCCCTAGTTTACACAAAGTAGCTGAACAGGAATGGAGTACTCACATATAAATCAGATTCTTGCAAAGAGAACAAATCAGCATTACCATTCCTGATTATGATCAGTAATCACTGATGGAAAACATATATCTGTGAGCACTGCATGAGGCTGGGTTTTGAAGGTCCTAATCCCAGCATTGCAATGACAATGAACACTTAATGTCTAAACACACACTTTAAAAATAATAGCTTGGATGAGGAATTAGTACATGGAACTGTATCCAGGCATGAGACATTAACCTTAGAGAGGAGAGTGCAATATTGAAAATGAAAGTGAAGTTTGCCGTACTGGTGGTACCACAGTGTGAGCATCTTCAAGTGATACAAATAAATCGACAAGCACATTTGCAATGTATGAAATTAAAGAGCTGATTTTAATTTGAGATATGTTTGGGACAGGCTGGGAGTAAACAAGATTTTCCATGCACTCTTTTTTAAGAATATTTCTCTGCACGGCATTCTGCCATGAGGTAGTGGGAATAATGCCAGCAGGTAGAAGTGGTAAATCTGGTGTAACATCAAACCCTAGGAACCCAGAGCATATTATACAGGATAAGTTTAGTAATGTTGGAGGACTGAATCTGCAAAAATGATGCCAGTAATGGGAGGGTGACGAAGAGCGAAGATTTGGATCAGAAAAACCTGTGTGCAAGAGAAGGCAATGGCCTAGTGGGTATGATCACTAGACGATTAATCCAGAGACCCAGATAATATTCTGGGGAACCTGAGTTCGAATCCTGCCATGGCAGATGGTGAAATTTAAATTCAACAAATATCTGGAATTAAGAGTCTGATGATGACCATAAAACCACTGTCAATTATCAGGAAAACAGAAACGTGTGGTTCACTTTAGGAAGGGAAACTGCCATCCTTACCTGATCTGGACTACATGGGGCTCCAGACCCATAGCAATGTGGTTTACTCCTAACTGCCCCCTGGGCAATGAGTACTGGTTCAGCCAGTGATGCCCACAACTTGTGAATATATGAAAAAAGGCCCGGAGCAGCATTCCTGCTCACCTCAACCCATAAAGTGTCTTCACACAAATATAAGAAAAATAAATGACCTGGATGTGTTCTGGTCACCGTGTTTCATCCTAGTAGGTTTTACTGATTGTTTTTCTGTTTCAGATTCAAATATGATCCCAGCCTTAATGGTGTAATTGATCCATTACTTTTATGTGCAAAATAGGCCCCCACCTGCCTGGATCGGATATTGTCCTATACCCGAGCTGAGGTGGTCTAAGAGGTCAGTTGTGGGTATGTGTGAAGCCCACTCCCAACCCCCATACAGCCCTCCTCTGCACCTTAACCATTCCCTGCAACGGATACGGTTCAAATCAACTTTTGACATCCAACTCACATTTTACTTTTCTTGAGATATAAACACTGTAAACATATTTTCTGTGAAAGGGGACGTGAATAGTACTTTAAAAAGAAGTATTTACCTTATAATTAAAATTATTACAAGTGTATTTGGTAAAAAAAGGTATTGCTGATAGCTGTCCCCTTCCAAAAGTTGACATTTTGACATCATGACAATCAACTGATCAATTTTGACTGAAAAAATGCTCAATAATGCAAGGTGTAGGATCTCAAAAGTATATTCTCAAATTGCTTTGAAAGCCAAGCAGAAATCTTTCAGATTTTTTCAGCAAGACATTTAATACATATCATTGAGTTCATTGGACTACATTATCTGTGGAAGGAACATGCTCAATAGGCTAGCTGTCCATTTTCTGTCCATTACATTTTTACCTGATACTTTGTATCAATAATACAGTAATCTCTTTGGAATTAATCTATATTAGTTCCTTATTAGCACTTATTACCTATTAGTTTCTTTCCAATACATCCAGGAAACAATTCAGCAATAATAATAAGCACAAGTATGAATTACTGCAAATGTGGAAATCCCATTTTTTTCAGGAAAATGGTAAACCTTCTCACTTGGTCTCAAATCCCTTGACAGTATTTATGAGCTTGATCCATTTATTCATTTTTGTTTATTGTTGCAGGAATCACCGTATGTAATGCTGAAGAAAAATCATGAACAATTTGATGCAAATGATAGATATGAAGGCTATTGTGTGGATTTAGCTTTTGAAATAGCCAAGCATGTTGGCATTAAATATAAACTGTCTGTTGTCCCTGACGGTAAATATGGAGCTAGAGATCCTGAAACTAAAATCTGGAATGGAATGGTGGGTGAACTAGTATATGGGGTAAGTGTCAATTTAAGAAGATGGAAAAAAAGTATATGTATATCTCATAGGAAATAGGCTGAAAATCAGATTTATTTACTTTTATTCAAAACTACTTGGTCCGCAGTGGATAAACAAAATAATCATAAGTTATTTAACTGGCTATGTAAATATCTTCTCTGATGCTGACACATACAGCACTTCGTAATTTGAAGTCAAGTTCTAGGACATTTGACATTGAGTATATTTATTCTGTATTATTTGTGTTGTTAATTATTTAAAAAAAACTTACATTTCATTTGTGAGGAAGTTTTAAAAATGCAGGACTGCATAATGGTCTAATTATTGCAATGCCATGTAGATGCAAAGTTTGACCTTTGATCTCATAATCCTAAAAAGTGTCTGGATCCTGTTTTCTTTAAGTTTGCATGGAATTCTGTACAAATATGTCACATGGGTATGGATTCCTTTATGAACAAAAGATATACAAATACCACTAATGCAGTTGTTCCCCAATCATATTCTAATCAACAATGGCCATAGTCCAATATATCTGAGAAACTCTAATTTCTAGTTAGCTAACTGCTTCTTCTGTTCCCACTGTTTTGCATTGAATAGTCTCAGCAGTACTTTGATTTTAAGTCGCACAGAATTAGCAAAATACCTTTGCAGAATAAATTTATGACAATACATACATCAGATTTGCTATCAATCAAATATCACTTCCAGAAAAGAGAAGGATATAAATGCAATCCCTTATGTGGACCTAAAATTAGTATTGCATTTAACCATTATGATTGTGAGGCTAAACATTTCTGTTCAGTTTAATTCCTTGTTAAACTCTCTGCAGCTCATTTTCATACACCATACTGGCCAAAGAATTATTGGAATTATTTATTCCTGTTATTTGCATTTATGTTCTTACCAGGAACAATTCTGTGACAATACATTCTAACAAATGATTTTCCAACTTTTCTTACTTGAAGCAAATGTAGGATTGAACCATTTCAAATTAATAGCTGGACATCATGTGCCTAAATTGAGGTGCTAGGCTCAGAGTCATCCAGAATCTGAAAATTGCGCTGCAGAATCGTCAAGTGAACACCAATCGGACAATGCAATCCAAGTAAAGTATTGCAGATACTGGAGACCTGAAGTAAAAACATAAAGTGCTGAAGAAACACAGCAAGTCTTGCAGGATCAGAACTAACATTTCACATCCTAGATGACTCTTCTTCAGAGCACTTAATACTAACTTCATTAAGAATAATTTATTCTAGAACCTTAGAAAAGTTATGGCACAAAAATAAACTATTCGGTTTATCATGTCTGTGCTGATTGAGAGGAAATAAAAATCTCACCTTCCATTCTAATCCCACCGCCCAGTGCCTGTCCTCTAGCCTTGCAGATTGCAGCATTTCTTGTGCAGATGCAAGTACTTTTTTAAACAAGTTAAGAATTCCTTTTTCCATTACTAAACTACCAAACCAGGCAGCAAATTCCAGATACCTACCATTCTCTGGGTAAAAATGTTTTGCTTCATGTCCCCTCAAATCCTTCCATCAATCTTTAAATCTTCAATTGATCAATCACTAGGGGAATCAGGTTTTGTCGACTCTATCTGGGCTCCTCATCATTTTGCAAACCTCAGTTAGGTTACCCATCAGCCTCCTGTGTTCTAAGGAAAATAACCTTCACCTATTCAATATTTCCACATGTCTACATTTTTCAAGTCCAGCTAATATTTGTGTTAATCTCCTCTGTTCTTGCCTAGAACAATGTCCTTCTTGTAATGCAGTGATCAGTACTGTATACAAATCTCCTGCTAACTAGCATTTTGTATTCAATCTAAGATCAAAATTACATATTTTGTCCATCATCCCTCCTTACTCATTTCTATTCAGCACTCTAGCCAATTTTGCTCTGGTCCTCAGAGCACTTTTATAAGTATAAGTATTTATTAAGATATTGCAAGTTTCTGCCCTTCTTTGGAAAATTGTTGTCAGTTGCTGTTTGCTGGTGCATTCTTTGCATGACATTGCTTTATTAGGCGCACTTTGCTGACCCTTGCTGCTTCAGTGGTAGCAATTTCAATGCTCAGTATGACTATTGTGTTGAACCTTCTAATGGTCATTGTGGATTTGGAGAAGAATGAAAAATTCAGGCAGAAAGAAAAAAAGGAGTTTGTTTGAACTTTGAGCGTTTAGAATCAATTGAACTCAGCTCAGAACCAAGGTCATCAGACCTAGCTACACCTGACAAGAGATACCTAACATGATGTTCCTTGATCTACAGTTCAAGAGGGAGTCACCTCTTTGACTGTAACCTCCCAGATAAGATTTGCCATAGTAACAGTCCTTTCAGAGGTCATGAAGATTATGAAGCTTTCAGTTTTGATCTATCAGATCTATCCGTGCCATCTATGTCATTCTTCACTAAACTTAGATATCAAACAAGCTACAAAAGGCTTGTCTTCTAGGAGTTAAGTATTTGTCAATTTCCTGATGAACTGAAGGCAAAAGCACAAGAAATTGTAATACTTTCATGATATAGATTGCTTTCCAAAAGTACGAGGCCTCACTTCTACACCTGTAACCAGGAAGACTGGACAGATGACTAAATCAAGACTGTGTCACAGAACCCATGCTCAAAACACTGTTGAGGATCCCCTGAATAGAGGCTCAATTTTCCAGACAATGTACGTAACAACATATGATTAAAATGCTGAAACAGAGATTTGCTGTCTGGACAGATCAAGTGATGACTACAGCTATTATATAATGTCCTGTTTAGCAGTGTAGCTGATACACTGACACAGAAAGAGAAAACCTTTCTAAAAGACACACCCATGGTCTTAACAGAAAAGGAGGAGGATAAAGGCAAGGAAATAGAACTGGGTGAAGAGGATCTACAACAAGAAAGTATTAATCATTGGTGTCAGGCCTTTGGCCCAGATGTTGCAGCCTCCAGAATGTTGGAAACTGGGCGTATCGCCAGGATACGTGTCAAAGCCTCTGGAAGTCATGAAGCACTGACTCCGTCACACAAGAAGATTGAACTGCTAACGGACAAAACCCCGGCACTACAGAATCCTTCAGTTATGCTTGGCTACGTGTTAGAGTTGGAGACGTTGGATAGTTCCAACTTACTTAACCAAAAAGTTACCCAGGAAATGTTGCACTGATTAAACTCTCGTCTAACATCAGAATACTATACAACTGACCCTCCAATAACTCATACTTACCCTATCCCAAAGGTCTCCTTGACTTTTGATGCCCCGTCCCCCAACCAATTCCCCATTGGTCCCGTTATTGGCCTCTGACTTGAAATGAGTAGACCTCACCAGTACCCACACTGAATCTTGGCTTCCCCCTGAATTCCCCGAGTTCCTCAGATGCTACTGTGCCCCCTCCTGAACCCCCACCCCCTGACACATTGAGACTATCCTCTGACCAGACAACCCCTATCAACCTGACTACCCTCCCCACTTGCCAATCTACCCATCTGCCACCCTAGTCACCAACAAACCTGCCCCCCTACTCAACTACCACCCTATCCAATACTATCCTACCATCCTTACCAGCCTGCCAGTCTACCCACCTATCATCCTGTCACCTTATGCGCCTACCATATAGCTATCCTAATACATTGCCACCCAACCCAATTACCATCCTATCATCCTTACCACTCTGCCACTCTCCCTGTCTACCATGTTGCTATCCTAACACCCTCCCACCCTACCTACATGCCAACAAACCACCTCAACCACCTCAGCCTTATCCACTTATCTCACTCACCCTTCTTCCTACTCCACTTACTCACCCAGTGTACCCACTTACACACTTATACACAGATTCACTCCCACTCACTAACACATGAAAAATTCCATGACACCTAAATAGGCACTTAGCAAAATATGGAAGCTAGCAATGTGAAAAGAGGGCCTGGCCCCTGCACAGATTCTCAGTGCTGCTGTCTCTGAAAATTCCTGTGCTGAAGGTGTTTTGCAGCCCTCTCCGTTGGAAGATTTGTCAGAAAGATTGGGGGGAATGGTAAATTCTCTCCCTGGTCACCTTGTGACCGAAGGCTTCTGATAATAACCAGAAGATTCCAGCCATATGGCTATAATCTGTAAATATGGTCATGCATGAATGCCTTCCTTATAAAATTGACCCGTTTACAATCTACTCTGGCTAATCACCCATTGGCTCGATTACCATTCCTGCCTGTACCCTTACATGCTTGACAATAAATAAATAATATATTTCAAAGAAGATGCAAGAAGTTTAGATTTCTTGTGACACCTGGCATTTTGAGGTTTTGGCTACAATGATGTTTTCCCTTAGTGAGGGTACATGCTAGTCCTGCTTGTGCTTTGTTTAAGTGAGAGGAGCCTGTGTGATGGCATCTTCAGTATATCCTCTTGACACAGTAGTGGTGCTGAACCTGTTTGTGCTGGATAATGTGTTGGCCTGACTGAGCCAACACACAAACTGCTACTTCATGAGTACTCTGATTGGAGTGGCTGTAGGGCCAGATATGCCAAACCTTGAGAGGTCATTACCCATCTGCCTTCTTCTGCCATGCCATAGCTCTCAAGATCTCTTGTGAATGGCCAGGGATCCCTGTGGAAGCAGAACCTGTTGATCACCCGCAAGTGACAAACCAGCCATCAAGATAAACTCAAGTTAATCGACCAGCCTTGCCATGTCCTCCAGTGAATTGGATCCTATATTCTTAATAGCTGCAGTAATAGCATTCATCAACTTCAGAACTCTGTTCTTGGGAAAGATTCTACAAAAGGCTGCAGAGATGTCTCTTGCAGCGTGGACTGTATGTTTTCCATGCCCACTCTTACAAAAGCGTAGGTGTCAAAGCCACATATCTGTACAGTGCCTGAGATATAATAACAGGAATTTGGGACATTATATGAAAAAAAAATCCATTGAAGCATTTTTGGCTCAGTGATTTTCTTGCTGATACTTCAAGTTACTTGCACTTAAGACTTTGAAGTCACAGGGCTCGACAGATGTGCAAATGATATGCAAGTAGTTTGTGATTTTTTGACAGAGGATAAGGCAAATTAGTGTAGCATTGGAAGTCTTTCTGTCTGCTAGGCAAAGGATTCAAGCTAAAGCATTGCAGAAGTGAAAGTTTAAATGTGCAGGAAGTGAGGTTGTGCCAGTGTTTTCCAGCCTCTAATTCTGTTAGTGCAATCATGCTTATGGCAAGCAGAGATTTAATTGGAGTTGTCAATCAGTAAGGCAGCTTACCTTGACAGTTTTATTCCATTAAAAGGATTTCTTCCTTATTCAAAATCTATGAATAGAAAAGTCAACGTCGACAAGGAATCTCTTTGTGCAAGAATAGGGAATGAAGTGGTCAGGACAGCTGGTTCACAGGCCTGAAGATGCTTGATCCTCATCAACATAAAACTGACAGTTATGTGAACCAGGCAAACTCTCAAAGCAACTCTGACTGGTGACCTGGGAAAATTGCCCACACTCCAATGCTGAAAGGGAAGGTTAAATGAGTGGCAGGCATGAGCTAACAGCAGATCACCATGTTTCTCTGAAGCCAGGATAGGCTGTTCTTTCTGGATCCACACGAATGTGCATGAAAACCATTTTACTTGCTTTGTTGTTTAGGGCCACTGCGGACCGAGAGAAACTGAGCAGAATGGAGCATGCCTGAGTTTATAGCAGGTTTAGCAGAAGGGTCCAAAGAAGTTGTTAAGGTTATTTGACATATTTGGTGCTTTATGTCTGTCTTAGGTTATTATCCCAGATACTTTGAAATTGCTTTCGGGGAGACCAGGCCATAGAGTTACACAGCATGGAAACAGACCCTTCAGTCCAACCAGTCCGTGCCAAACATAATCCCAAATTAAACCAGTCCCACCTGCATGCTGCTGACCCATATCACTGCAAACATTTCCTAATCATATATCCATCCAAATGTCTTTTAAATTGTGTAATTGTACCTGCATCCACCACTTCATCAGGAAGTTCATTCCACATGTGAACCATCTTCTGTGTAAAAAATTTGCCTCATGTCTTTTATAAATCTCTCTCCTCTCACCTTAAAAATGTGGTCTCTTGTCTTGAAATTCCCCATCTGAGGAAAAGACATCTACCATCAACTCTATACCTTTCATTATTTTATAAAATTCTATTAGGTCACCTCTCAACCTCTTACGGTCTAGTGAAAAAGTTTCAGCCTATCCAGCCTTTCTTCATAACTCAAACCTTCCATACCCGGCAACATCCTGGTAAATCTCTTCTGAACCCCCTCCAGCTTGATAAATATCCTTCCTATAACTGGGCAACCAGAACTGGACACAGTATCCCAGAAGAGGCCTCATCAATGTCCTGTACAACTTCAACGTAACGTCCCAACTCCTATACTCAAAGGACTGAGCAATGAAGGCAAATGTGCCACCCGCCTTTTTGACCATCCTGTCTATATGTGACACAAACTTTAAAGAATTATGTACCTGCACTCCCAGGTCCCTCTGTTTTACAACATTACCCAAGGCCCTATCATTAATTGTATAAGCCCTATCTTGTTTGTTGTACCAAAGTGCCATACCTCGCATCTGTCCAGATTGAACTCCATCTCCCATTTTTCAGCCCATTGACCATTTGATCAAGATCCCTTTGTAATCTTTTTGTAATCACCAATTTTGGTGTCATCTGCAAACTTACTAACCATGCCTTCTATATTCTCACCTAAATCATTTATATAAATGACAAACAAAAGAGGACCCAGAACTGATCCCTGGGGAACACCACTGGTCACAGGCCTCCAGTCCGAAAAGCGACCCTCCACCACTACTTTCTGTCTCGTGCCATTAAGCCAATTATGTATCCACTTGCCAAGCTCACCCTGAATTCCATACAACCTAACTTTACTAATTAGTCTACAATGCGGAACCTTGTCAAAGGCTTTACTAAAGTCCAAATAAACAACATCTACTGCTCTGTCATCATCAATTTTTTTGCTAACTTCCTCAAAAAATTCAATCAAGTTGTGCGATTTTCCTCGCACAAAACCACACTGACTATCCCTAATCAATTCTTGCCTCTCTAAATGTCCATAATTTTTTTATAATCACCTCCAACAATTTACCCTCAACCGAAGTCAGACTCACAGGCCTGTAGTTCCCTGGCTTCTCTTTACAACCTTTCTTAAACAAAGGTACATTAGCCACCCTGAGCTTTGCTCAGAAATGTTCACCAAGTTAGTTTCCATTTAATTGCATTGCAAGATATTCACTGCCTGCTTGGAATTGAAGGAATGTTCCCATCAGCAGCAAACAAGGCTACCCTTCTCTGTGTCATATGTTCCAACAAAAAATTCAAACTCTCTTCCTCAAAGAGGAAAGTTCTGCCCTCAGACCTTGTCAATGTACCATCTTGACAGCACCTGTAAATCACAGCCTTGTTTCCAAAGAATAATAATACTTTATGAGCAACTACTGTCTTCTTTTCCAGAAGACTGCAACTGTTGCATTCCATGGAAAATGTGAAGGAAACACATGATAATGGTTATTTAAATTAGCTGCTCTTACTAAATCTAATATCTAAACTAATACTCCTCATGAACAATAAATGCTGTGCGCAAGTCAACTCCAGACCATTCTTCTTAGAATTATGGAATTAGCCCTATTATGTTTCTTTCTAATAGCATTGAATCCCTAGTTATAGTTTATTTTTGTACACAAGGTCATTCTCCATCCCCACCGCACCCTTCCCATCCAATAAAAGCATCTTTCCTCCCTATTCATTGCTAACTTTCTCAAGCAAGAGTGTGAGATACTTCAGGATTCTCCAACTCCTGCACATGTAGTTGGTGTATTCTTTGATCAGTATATCATGTGATACACTTGATTGATGTATGAAATATCTCCCCACAAGACAGTGTAACTGAAGAAAGACAGCCAAACAAAGCTCAATACCGAGGAATATCTCTGGCATTTCTGGTTTTGGTACTCACCACCTTACCTGGAAGTCAAGAATGTGTGTTGAATACTTCTTATATTTAAGATCTTAAATTTAACTTTCACTATCATGAACCTATGTTCACTGGCATTTGTGTTGTAATTTATAATTCAGATATGTATTTACTACCTTGTATAAATATAAAATCACCTGTGAGTTCTTAGTCTATTTTCTTTCTATCAGAAGGGTAATTCATATTATGTTAGAGATGAAAGTTAAAGATGAAATTCTACTCACTGTTGACTTGGCCGCTGGAGTGTTCAGTTTAACTGTTACTTTTCAACAATCGTGTCATTGTCACATTTGTTTAATGTAATACTAATGACTCTAATTCAATGAGCAGAACTGATTGAAAATAAGAAGTTTTAAAAACATGTCATACTTTTCCATTGAGAATAAATCTGAGGCACATACATATCTGATTGCATGGTTGCACTGCATCATGGTAGCTATGTGCCAAAACGGAGGAAGCTCAATCCCATAATCCATTGCAATACTTAATATGATCACTGAGATAATAGAATCAGAATGTTACTATGTTTTCTATAAAGTTAATGCAATGTCTCTGTGATTGTTTTATACTAATTAGCATTTTCCCCATTTCCAGAGAGCTGACATTGCTGTTGCACCACTCACTATAACTTTGGTCCGAGAAGAAGTTATTGACTTTTCCAAACCTTTCATGAGTCTTGGTATTTCAATAATGATAAAGAAGCCCCAAAAGTCCAAGCCAGGAGTGTTCTCTTTCTTGGATCCTTTGGCCTATGAGATTTGGATGTGCATAGTCTTCGCCTACATTGGAGTCAGCGTAGTGCTTTTCCTGGTCAGCAGATTCAGTCCTTATGAATGGCATATGGAAGAAAATGAAGAAGGACGTGACCCCCAAAATACTGAGCCACCTAATGAGTTTGGGATATTTAATAGTCTCTGGTTTTCTCTGGGTGCCTTTATGCAGCAAGGATGCGATATTTCACCAAGGTTTGTCATTATCACATTACCTTTGTGCATTTTATGGTCAAAAACTGATGCCATGGTGCATATACGTTACTTTTATTCCATCTTTATTTTCAATTTTCTTCCCCAACAAACATTATTTTAATATCCACATCAGCACGGTAAGATCCACCCATCCAACAATCACTGTGCCACACTGCTGAAATGCCTGAGTGGCTTATTCTCAGTGTCACTCACACAGCTATCTGAATAACTTATATACACCATGCCGAGACCGTAAAATGCATAAGGTTTGTCTGTCTCCAGCACCCTTGGAGGGCTACCGTGTTTTTGCTGCATATCGCATTTTACGGTCGACAGTTCGGTGTATATAACAGAATAATGCTACATTTTGTAAGCGCCTCCATTTTGAATGGAAATCTTGAAAAAAACGATGCAGCAGCACCATTAAGGAGCACCTCCAAGCCGGTCTTGGTTTCTTTTGAGTTTACATTGATTAACTCATTTTTTTTCTAGCTTGCTTCCATCTTTCAACTAGCTGTCCCATTTTCTTCATTACATTTACAGGTTGCAGTATCCCATATTGTAGACCTTCATTGACAGTGTTTTAAGGAAACCACTCCTATAAATTCTGAATATATTTGGAAATCCTGTATTTATTTCAAGATAATGGCAAGATTTAAGAAATTCAATGTGTTCTTCATCTGTCTATAAATCAATGGCCAAGTAATTTCTCCTTGGTTCACCCATCACTTGTTTTAGACAATTAAAGAACATTTCAGGTTAAACTAATAATAGCTAAGTGATCAGTACTTAAAAAATGTGCAGCTGAAAAGACAAATAAACTAAGTAAGTATCATCAAGAATAATATTCCAAAAGGGCACCTTGTTGAGTTTCCAATATCATTTTTTTTCGAACGAGAATGCAAGTTAAAGAAACAAAGTCCATTACCAAAAAAAGTTAGGAAGCAAAAGGTGAATCAACAGAATCTATTGGTTCGTTTGTGCAAACTTTGGAGTTTGAATGTCTATAGATTCCACATAAAAGAGTAAGACTGAGAGGGATGTAAGGAGTTCCACAATATTGAGATTCTGGCAAAAAGATTTTAGCATGCAGTATTACTCATGCATAGATATGAAAATTAGAATGTTTGTGTGACTGGTTTACACTGCAATTATATATTTTTCATTCATGTTATTTCACTTGAGAAAAAGAATTAAATCATCCCTAATTACTTAAAACGATCTCAAATTGGAATGTTACAATTGCCACTATTAATATTTCATTGATTGAACCAAACAGATCCTGAGTATTAGTCGTATTACTTTATTTCTTAATAAGATGAGAAAACATGGAAAAGAAAAGTCACTGGGCCAAATCTACCATTGGGCCCAAGAAAACCTGATCTGAAAACCTCAGTGGCTCATAAACTGTACACCCAATTCATGAGATAACAAGGTGTAGAGCTGATGAACACAGCAGGCCAAGCAGCATCATAGGAGCAGGAAGGCTA